TTTTGTGTTTCATATTAAAAAAAGGTATTCCCAATTGACTATAAACCACATAAGTAAAAATTACAATTTTTAAATTTTAATTAAAAGCTGTTGACCTGTGATTTACTAAACTTGAAGTTTTTATTTTTTCTCATTGTACCAAATTGTAAAGAGGGGTATTTAACAAAGTGACTATAAGGTCCTTGGCTTTTCTTTGATGAGAAACTTTTTAATACTACTTCAGTCTCATTATGTATTATTAGTCTCTTTAGGTTTTTTATTTCTTTATGAATAAATCTTGGTAGATTGTAATTGCCCAGAAATGTATTTGTTTCTTCTAGGATTTTTAATTCATTCACACATAATCTCTTAAGATCACACATAAGAGATTCATCATAATCTCTTAAGATCCTTTGTATTTCTGTGACTATCAGTTTTAATGTCTCATTTTTCCTCCCTGAGTATATTTATTTCAGCCCCCCTCCCTTTTTTTTAGCCTCATTAGGGCTTGAAGATTTTATCTTTTCACAAACCAACTGTATTTCATTGATAGTTTGTATTGTTCAATTAGTCAACATTTTGTTTATTTCTGCTTTGATCTTTATTCTTTTTTTCTTCTACTGATTTTAGGCTTAGTTTGTTCTTAGTTTTCTTGTTCCTTGAGGTGTAGTATTATATTGTTGTTTATTTAAGATTTTTGTACTTTTTGGATGAAGGGATTTATGGCTTTAAGCTGTTGCTTTATCTCACAGGTTTTGTGAGGTATATTGTGTTTTTATTTCATTAGTCTCAGGAATTTTAATTTTCTTTTTAATTTTCTATTTACCTAAGGTTGTTTCTGACCATGTCATTTAATTTTCTAGTTTTTTTTCTAGTGTTTAGGTTTCTTTTATTTTTTTTTTAATTGCCCAAGGGTTTGTTCTTGTACAAAAACAGTTAACACCACTTTGCAAAGGCATACAAAAATACAATTTAAAAAAAAGACTCCCCTCAGCATGATACCCAACAGCAGCTTATAAAACACAAGCCATTCAGCTGATGGCTTGGGTGTAGGTTACGGATGTCTGTAACCTACACCCAAACTGTCCTCCGTAGACAGTTCCAAAGTCAGCTGGCTTTTGTAAACCATGCTCCAGAAGGGTAGAGAGGCTATTTCCAAACATCCCCTGTGTCCTTTGAGGCCAAGAAGCAACCTCAGAAAGAAACCATTATGGACAATACATTTGGAAGTAGCAGCTGGTTTTCCAGAGCCACATATAGTGGCTTACCACCCCTCACTCACCCCAACTTCCACACCCAGAGCCAGGAGGCACCTGCTGTCCTGAGCAGAGTCCTGGAGGGGCTGCTGGTCCTTCTTCCAAGACAGGCCTAGAGATGCCTGTGGTTACCCACATGACAACTGCTAGGTTGGGTGACTTTCTCAGACTGGAGGCTGCACTGGATTCCGCCTGGAGCTGCCAAGCCCAGCTGAGGCAACCATGATGGATTCATAACGTTTGGCTGTACATATCTCCTGGGGGCTCCCTTAAAACCCACCGGAGGCAAGTCCACCTTCTGGAGCACTGGATCCAGAATAGCTCTCCCCAAAACTTCAGAAAGGCTCAGATTCTGGGAAAGATATCTGATTCATGGCAGGCTGGCCGGGGCCCAAAGGTGGCTGCAGAGCCAGCAAGCTCCTCGGAGTTGCACAAGAAGGACATGGTTCCTGCATGGTTCCAGAACTTCAAACTTGCTGGTCAAGGGTTGAAGTGACCAGCGGGTGGGAAGAGGAAGCAGTACAGTTCTCCCTCTGAGGTGTCTTACACCTGCCTCGAGCAAAGACTGGGTCTCAAGCGCCCCCGTGAAGGCACGTGGGCAGGGATCAAGTTCATGAGCCAGGACTCCAAGCTTTCCCCAGGCCCCAGGCTAGGACCCATTTCCCTGTCTTGGGGAAATACTTACGACCTGTGGGAAAGGGTGCTGTAGAGCCCATTGCATAACGAAGGCAGAATGAAACAAAAAAGTCCCTTGTGAGGAAAGAAAGTTCCTCCCTCAGAGGAGAAGGCACAGAGGACTCTGACTCAAAGAATCTGGAGGCCAAGCTCTTTAAATGTTCCCAGGGTCGCAGCATTTAGAGTGGAAGGAAAGGGGTCAGCTAATATCATATATATATATATATATATAAAATAGGTTTCCAACTCTTCAGCTACTATAAAGTGTCTGACAGTCCATGTTAAGTCTGCAAGCTTCTAGTCACCTAAGACAGCTCAAGTGTCTTCTGGAAAAAGGAGCCTCAGGGAGAAAGCATTCAGGCCCAGCTGTCCTTGCATCACCCCAGAGACACCAGTTGGGAGCATCCTTTTCTAGCCTAAAGCTCACGCAGAGTGTGAGATTTCATGCAGGCTGGAGCCCCGACAACATCCACTGCTTGTTGCATAGCACCCGTCAGCCTTTTCTTTGGAGCTAGTGAGCTAGGCAGACCCCAAGCCTCCTCAGTCAGCTGCCTTTTTGGAAGCCAAAGGCACCAGAGAACATACAGCACTCCCATGAGTCAGGGAAGAGGGAGAGCTGAGTTTCAAGGTTTCCAAGAATGCAGGCCTTTATTGTGTGTACACAGCTGCAATGCATTCTGCAATCGACTGTCTCACCATAACCAAAATGTGCAAATTACTAAAGGGGAGAGGGAGGTCAAAAAATAAACTCGTGTCTTTGTAAGATGGAACAGCGAAGCTTTTTGGTCAGTAGCCGCTGAGGTATGCAATTCTTTTCTGCAATTGCTGCTGCTGGCATCGGAGCTGCCTTTTCTCTGTAGCCATCCACTTCTCAGCCCCACAAGGCCTTGCTTAGGATCACTACTTTAGTGGCCGTAGAGCAGCTGGCCAGGGTGGGCACCTGGTCCCTCAGGGCCAAGAACCGCGAACGCAGGTCATTCTGCCTCTTGCGCTCCAGGAAGTTGTGGTTCTTCCTCTTGGTCACATCCTCAGTATCAGAACTGCCAGGTTTTGGGTGGCAGGACGGGGTAGCCTCACTTTCTGCAGGTGGGAGGCTCACAATCTCTTCATCCTCCTCATCTTCCTTTTCCCCTGGAGTATCTCTCTCCAGAGCCTCCTCTTGCGGACCCCTCTCTGGAGCCTCTTCTTGGGAGCAGCTTTCTGGAGGAAAACGGGCAGTGTAGTGTGCTGTTGCTGATGGATGGAGATGTGGAAGCGCTTCATGCAGGGATCCAGAGGGTCTGCTCGCACTGTCGGTGACCGGCTTCCGAATACCCAGAAACTGCCTCTTCTCTACTGTCACATCATTCTCCAAGTCGCTTGGGCTCTCGGACCCGGAGCAGGCCTGGGTCTTGGGTTCACCCAGGGGACTGGGGGCGGCGGCGCCAGGTTGCAGGCTTCGAGGCTGGTAAGTCCGGGGTGGCGGACGCCTTTGGCAGGTTTCCCCGGGGCGTGCCAGAGGTGAGCTGGTCACTCACCGCTCTCTCCAGCTGTTCTTGGGCCCAGAAGCCACTCCACATGCAGTCATGGCAGATGATGCAGGTGTAGTTCATGCCCGAAGCTTTCGAGTGGCCCCGGGATTCTGCTTCGTCTCCGGCGCACCCTCCGGATCAGGTCTGGGGGACCCAATCCCGGGGGTCGGGTGCCCTGTGCCAGGACCCAAGCCCCAGGGCAGCGACGTGGGGGGTGATGGCACCAGCTCGTATTTCTTCCAGATGCCCTCGCCGGGCGCTGTGGAGCGGCAGAAATCCTCCTGCAGTCATAGTCGTAGAAACAGTGCTAGTAAGAGTCGTAGTCTATGTCGTAGTCCATGTCGGCTCTCGGAGCGGTCGGACCAGCTCCCTGCCGGCTCGGGCTAGTGTTTAGGTTTCTAAGTGGCATAACTTCACCAGGATAATTTTTGCCTTCATTGCTGTAGTCCCTCAGTCTACTTTGGAGGCTGAGGCAGGAAGATCACTTGAGCCCAGGGATTCCAGGTGGCAGTGAGCTATGATCATGCCACGGCACTCCAGCTTAGGGGACAGAGTGAGATCCTGTCTCGTATGTTCCAACAGCCTACAGTATTCAGTCCAGTAATATGCTGTACAAGTTTGTAGCAAGGTGCCATAGGGTATACCATACATCCTTGGCATTCACACAACCCGCGAGGGACAGGAGAAAATGGTCAGGGAAGAGCCTTGCGATTCGCTTCTCCACTGCTTGGGGTCCAGATCGGCCGGGGCAGCAACGATCACCATCGTCACTTCTCCCTCTCTACCTCTGATTTTCTCCTATTATTGATTTCTAGTTTTATTTCCTTATGATGAGAAAATATAATATAATTTTAATTTTTAAAAAATTGTCAAGACGTGCTTTGTAGCCTAACATACAGTCTATTCTGGAATATATTTCACATATATTCTGCAGCGGTTGTATCCAGTTTTTAATGAATGTCTATTAGGACCACATAGTCTAGAGTACAGTTTCACTCCCAGGTTTATTTGTTGATTTTCTGTCTGGATGACCTGTCTATTGCTGAAAGCGGGACGTAGAAGTCTCCTACTATTATTGTGTTGCAGTTGATCTCCTTTAGGTCTGTTAATATCCATTACTATGTTCTTTATATATTTAAGTATTCTGATGTTGGGTGCATACGTATGTATATAATTGTTATGTCCTTCTGCTGTAGTGACCACTTTATCATTATATAATAGCTTTGTTTGTCCATTTCAAATCATTTTTGATTTAAAGTTTATTTTATCTGATATAAGAATAGCCACTACCGCTCTTCTTTGGTTTACTTTTTTTTTTTTTTTTTTTTGACTGGGCATCACTCTCCTGTTGTCTCCTCGTCTTTGTGTGAACAACCAAGGTGGGAGAGGGAGGGGAAAGCTTGGCACTGCCCACCCCAGGGCAGCTCTGTATAGGCTGTGAAGGGGTCTGGGAGTGGGCAGTCTCTCGGGTGGGTGGGTGTGGCAGTGTCTTTGCATTGGAGAGAGTGGATAGGCAAATGCCACAAGGCACATTTCAAGTTCCTGGGAAACTCCTCACTCTACAGAAACTGGAGAACAATTTGAGGATTGAGATAGAACATGATATTTCACAGTAAAAATAAAACCAGGCCACACGAGAACCACTGAGGCCTGCCCATAACTCAGCTTTCCCTGCCCAGCCTCCTGTTCTCCCTGGTCCATATCTGGTGGTGGCTGGGAGTGGGCCTTGTGGCTGCTAGCAGGGGGAAGGGAGGAGCTGGGCCTGTGGGTCGTGCTGGCACGTGGGGACCAGCGGGGAATGTTGGGGCTGGGCAAGGCCCCGCAGGACCTGCAGGCTGGTCAGGGCCATGCCCACGAGCAGGCGCAGCAGCAGGAAGGCGCAGGGCACGGCGATCTGTGTGGTGGAAGATGCCCGCGCTGAACCTGCTCAGCAGGCAGGTGGAGGCGAAGGCCAGCAGGCTGGCGCAGGGGTACAGGGCCAGCTTGGCGAACATGAGCACATGATCCCGGCCGCTGAACCACACGGAGGGCTGCAGCGTGTCTGCCTGGTGCAGCAGCGCCGTGGTCCAGATGGCGAGCTGGAAGATGCTGGCCAGGAAGATGATGGCGCAGCTGAGGCAGACACGCTCGGGGCTGCCGGGCGAAGGCTGAGGTCTGCTGGTAGGCCAGTGGGAGGCCACCCACAAAGGCCAGCGAGAACGTGTTGAGCAGCCCCATGGCCTGTGTGGCCTTGCGCACGTGCAGGAAGAGCGAGTGGTGGGCGAACCACAGCAGTGCCACAGTGGCAAAGGAACCGAAGTACGCCAGGATGCACGGCCCGAACACGCTCAGCGCAGCCACGAGGCTGCAGCCGAACCACTCCTTCACGTCCTTGGGGTCCTGGACGTTGTCCTCACAGATGTCCAGGATGAGAAGAGTGGCCACGATGGCGTAGACGCCGTCGCTGAAGGCTTCCACCCGCTCCTTGCTGAGCGGCTCATGAAGGTCAAATGTGAAGACTTCCACTGGGTAAGCCGAGGGCTCCCTGTGGCCAAGGGGACAAAGAAGAGGGAGAAGATGGCTGCCATGAAGCAGAGGGCTGAGCCTCGGAGGACGATGCCCAGGATGTGTCTTCGGTACAGGGTCCTGTGGGCGGAGCGCTGGATCTGCGGGCTCAGCAGGTGCGGGAAGTGGAATGCGTACCCCACAATCCGTGCCTGCACGATCCCGATGGCGATCACACACACACAGAACATGAAGATGCCCAGGGGCACATCGGGGAAGGTCACCATTAAGGAAAACGTATAAGGCAGGAAGGTGATGGTCATCATGCAGGCCTGGGGGGAAGGAGGGCATCACGGCCATGAAGCAGCCAGGTTGAGCAGGGCAAGTGTGTCGTCTATTTTCCCAACAACTTGGAACAACCTTGTGTGTACCGCCCAGGCCACCGTTACGATGAGAAAGGTCATCAGGTAGATGGCGATCCGTGTTGCCAGAAGCCTCTGTACACTTCTGTCGAACTGTTCCGGGGAGATCTCCGTGTGTGTCACAGGCAGGATCATGACAGTGGCGATGATGGACAGCAGGGCGTCGCTGAAGCTGAGCATGCGTTGGGAGCACTGGATCCCCTCCCCGGTGTCCTCGTCCCTCCTGCCAGGGGAGCAGTCCCCCAGCGTGTCCAGCACCTGCTCTGGGGCCCGGGGCTGGGACATGGTGAGGCTGCCGCCCGCCAGTCAGAGGAGCCTGGGCGGGAATCGCCCCGGCAACTGCTCCACGCACCTCCGCTTGAGTCAGGCCAGCCGGGCCTGGTTTACTTTGATGTGGAATATTTTTACTATGCTTTCGCTTTTAGTGTATACATGTATTTTTAAGTGAAGTCAGTTTCTCCTAGGCAGAATAGTTGGAATGTGATTTTTTTTAAATTCATTTATCCACTCTTTTAATTGGAGAATTTAATCAATTTACATACAAGGTAATTCTTGATAGGTAAGAACTTAATTCTACCATTTTCTTACTTGCTTTGCGGTTGTTTTGTAAATCCTTTCTTCTTCTCTCACTTTCTTTGTGGTTTTGTGATTTTCTCCAGTAGTATGTTTTGGTTCTCTGCTTTTTACTTTTAATGTATATATTATAGCTTTTTGCCATGTGTTAACTGTGAAGATTAAAAAGTAATATTTATAGTTATGACAAACTATTTTTAACCGAAGATGTCTTATTTTATACATCATATATAAAATTCTACATTTTTACCTTCCCTCTCATTTTTTCCTGATTTTGATGTCAAAATTACAGTTTTTTTTGTAGTTTACATCCTTTAACAAATTATTGTATACATAGCAGTTCTAAATGCTTTTGTGTTTTAGCCCTTATAGTAGAGATAAAATTGCTTTACACACCACAATAATAGTACTAGAGTATTTTGAAAATGACTGTGTATTATATGTTTCTGAGCTTTATACTTTCATCTCTTTTATTTCATTAATCAGTGCCTTATTATTTCAGCCTAATGAACCGTTATAGAAATTATTATATGGCAGGCCTAGTGGTGATTAATTGCCCTGGTGCCCGTTTGTCCATGAAACTTCTTATTTCTCCTTATTTTTGAAGGACAGCTTTTCCGAGTAAAGTATTCTGGTGATTCTGTTTATTGTTTGTTTTTTAGCACTTTGAATACAGCATCCCTTCTCTCTTGGCCTGTAGGGTGTCTGCTGGCCACTGGAATTATCTTCCACATGATGTTTCTTATCTTCTGAAGCTTTCAAAATGTTTTTGTCTTTAATTCTTGATAAGTTGATTATGATATGTCTTGGACAAGCTCTTCCAGTTGAATTTGATTGGAGACCCTGGATGTTGGCATCTTTAAACAGATTCGTAACATTTTCAGCCATCATTTTACGAAATGTGCTTTTTTGCTCTTGTTCTTCTTCTTTTGAAGCTCCTATTATAAGAAAGTTTGTTCTTTTGATGGTATACCATAATTCCCATAGGCTTTCTTTACTGTCTTTCAGTCTTTTTTTATTTTTGCTCTTCTGACTGGATAATTCCAAATGTGTAGTCCTTGAGTCCACTGATGTTTCTTTTATACTTGATTGTGTCTGTTATTGAAGCCTTCTATGACATTTTTGTTCTGTTATTGTACTTTTCATCCCTAAGATGCCATGTGGTTTTTAAAATTATTACTTCTATTTGTTTGTCAAAATTCTCATTTATTACCATACTGTTTTTCAAGTTTCATTTAATATTTGATCTTTATTTTCATGTAGCTTACTAAACTTTAAAAAGATTTTTTCTAAATTCCTTTTTATTTATTTATTTTTAAATTATACTTTAAATTCTGGGGTACATGTGCCGATCTTGCAGGATTATTACATAGGTATACACATGCCATGGGGGTGTGCTGCCTCCCTCCCCCTGTCACCTACATAAGGTATTTCTTCTGATGTTATACCTCTACAACCTTCCCACCCCCTGCTATCTCTCCCCTACTCCCCCAAAGCCCCAACAGACCCCAGTGTGTAATGTTCCTTTCCCTGTGTCTACATGTTCTCATTGTTCAACACCCACTTATGAGTGAGAACATGTGGTGTTTGGTTTTCTGTTTTGTGTCAGTTTGCTGAGAATGATGGTTTCCAGATTCATCCATGTCCCTGTAAAGGACATGAACTCATCATTATTTATGGCTGTATAGTATTCCATGGTGTATATGTTTCACATTTCTTTATCCAGTCTATCCCCGGTGGGAATTTGAGCTGGTTCCAAGTCTTTGCTACTGTTAACAGGGCCACAATGAACATATGTGTGCATATGTCTTTATAATAGAACTATTTATAATCCTTTGGTTATATACCCAGTAATGGGATTGCTATGTCAAATGGTACATCTATTTCTAGATCCTTGAGGAATCACTACACTGTCTTCCATAATGGTTGAACTAATTTACACTCCCACCAACAGTTTAAAGTGTTTCTATTTCTCCACATCCTCTCTAGCATCTGTTGTCTCCTGATTTTTTAATAATTGCTATTCTAACTGGCGTGAGATGGTAACTCAATGTGGTTTTGATTTGCATTTCTCTACTGACCAGTGATGATGAGCATTTTTCTTATGTTTGTTGACTGCGTAAATGACTTCTTTTGTAAAGTGTCTGTTCATATCCTTAGCCCACTTTTTGATGGGGTTGTTTGATTGTTTGATTTTTTCTTGTATATTTGTTTTAGTTCTTTGTAGATTCTGGATATTAGCTCTTTGTCAGATGGGAAGCTTGGAAAATTTTTTTCCCATCCTGTTGGTTGCCAGTTCACTCTAATGATTGTTTCTTTGGCTGTGCAGAAGCTCCTACGTTTAATTAGATCCCATTTGTCTATTTTGGCTTTTGTTGCCATTGCTTTTGGTGTTTTAGTCATGAAGTTTTTGCCTATGCTCATGTCCTGAATGGTATTGCCTAGGTTTTCTTATAGAGTTTTTATGGTGTTAGGTCTTATGTTTAAGTCTTTAATCCATCTGGAGTTAATTTTTGTATAAGATGTAAGGAAGGGAGTCCAGTTTAGCTTTCTGCACATGGCTAGCCAGTTTTCCCAACACCGTTTATTAAACAGGGAATTCATTCTCTGTTGCTTATTTTTGTCAGGTTTGTCAATGATAAGATGGTTGTAGGTGTATGGTATTACTTCTGAGGCCTCTGTTCTGTTCCCTTGATCTAGATCTCTGTTTTGGTACCATTACAATGCTGTTTCGATTACTGTAGCCTTGTAGTATAGTTTGAAGTCAGGTAGCGTGATGCCTCCAGCTTTGTTCTTTTTGCTTAGAATTGTCTTGGCTATGAGGGCTCTCTTTTGGTTCCATATGAAGTTTAAGGTGTTCTTTTTCCAGTTCTGTGACGAAGGTCAATGGTAGCTTGATGGAGACAGCATTGAATCTGTAAATTACTTTTGGCAGTATGGCCATTTTCACAATATTGATTCCTCCTAACCGTGAGCATAGAATGTTTTTTCATTCCTTTGTGTCTTCTCTTATTTCCATGAGCAGTAGCTTGTAGTTCTCCTTGAAGAGGTCCTTTATATTCTTTGTTAGCTGTATTCCTAGTTATTTTATTTTCTTTATAGCAATTGTGAATGGGAGTTCACTCACAATTTGGCTCTCTGCCTGTTATTGGAGTATAGGAATGCTTGTGATTTCTGCACATTACTTCTGTATCCTGAGACTTTGCTGAAGTTGCTTATCATCATAAGGGGATTTTGGGCTGAGACGATGGAGTCTTCTAAATATACAATCATGTCATCTGCAAATAAAGACAATTTGACTTCCTCTTTTCCTCATTGAATACTCTTTATTGCCTTTTCTTGCCTGATTGCTCTGGCTAGGAATTCCAGTACTATATTAAATAGGAGTGGTGAGAGAGGGCACCCTTTTCTAGTGCCAGTTTTCAAAGGGAATGCTTCCAGATTTTTCCCATTCAGTATGATATTGTCTGTGGGTTTCTCCTATATAGCTTTTATTATTTTGAGATACATTCCATCAATACTTAGTTTATTAAGAGTTGTTAGCATAAAGGGTTGTCGAATCTTGTGGAAGACCTTCTCTGCATCTATTGAGATAATCATGTGGCTTTTGTCTTTGGTTCTGTTTATGTGATGGATTACATTCATAGGTTTACGTATGTTGAACTAGCCTTGTATCCTCAGGATGACGCCTACTTGACCGTGATGGATAATCTTTTTGATGAACTGTTGCATTTGGTTTGCCAATCTTTTATTGAATATTTTTTCATTGATGTTCATCATGGATATTGGCCTGAAATTTTCTTTTATAGTTGTGTCTGTCTCATAAAATGAGCTCGGGAGTATTCCCTCTTTTTGTATTATGTTTAACAGTTTCAGAAGGAATGGTACCAGCTTCTCTTTGTACATATGGTTGATTTCAGCTGTGAACCCATCTGGACCTGGGCTTTTTTTGGTTGGTAGGGTATTAATTGCTGCCTCAACTTCAGACCTTGTTATTGGTCTATTCAGGGATTCAACTTCTTCCTGGCTTAGTCTTAGGAGGATGTAAATGTCCAGGAATTCATCCATTTCTTCTAGATTTACCTGTTTGTGTGCATAGAGTTGTTTGTAGTAATCTCTGATGGTAGTTTGTATTTCTGTGGAATTGGTGGTGATATCTCCTTTATCATTTTTGTTTTGCTTGTTTTTTTGCATCTATTTGATTCTTCTCTCTTTTCTTTGTTATTAGACTGCTTAGCAGTGTATCTATTTTGATCTTTTCAAAAAACAGCTCCTTAATTTATTGATTTTTTGAAGGGTTTTTTTTTGTCTCTATGTTTTTCAATTCTGCTCTAATCTTAGTTATTTCTTGTCTTCTGCTAGCTTTTGAATTTTTTTGATCTTGCTCCTCTAGTTCTTTTAATTGTGATGATAGGGTGTCAATTTTAGATCTTTCTTTGCTTCTCATATGGGCATTTAGTTCTATAAATTTTCCTCTAGACATTGCTTTAAATGTGTTCCAGAGATTCTGATATGTTGTGTCTTCATTCTTGTTGGTTTCAAAGAACATCTTTATTTCTGCCTTCATTTCATGATTTATTCAGTAGTCATTCAGGAGTAGTTGTTCAGTTTCCACATAGGTGTATGGTTTTGGTTGAGTTTCTTAGTCCTGAGTTCTAATTTGATTCCAGTGTGGTCTGAGAGACTGACTGTTATGATTTCCATTATTTTGTATTTATTGAGGAATGATTTACTTAAAATTATGTGGTCAATTTTAGAGTAAGTGTGATGTGTTGCTGAGAAGAATGTATATGCTGCAGATTTG